TGTGTGTGTGTGTGTGTGTGTGGTACCAGGGATCAAACTCAGGTCCTTGTGCTTGCGAGGCAGGCCACCGAACCGCTGAGCTAAATCCCCGGCCCTTTCTTCCTGTCTCTTCATGGGAATCTTATGTCTCACATGTTCTCATTTGTCTTCTGCACTGATTGCAGCTTGCCCACTTCCGGAACCACCATGTAATTGGTGGTCCTCTTCTTAATTTCTACGTGTTCTTCTCTTTCTTTTTCACAGCCACACCTTGGGATGTCACAGCTTTAAAATTCATCAAATGTGGTACTCAATGCAGTTTGACAGGAACGTTTTGTCCTAGTACTTGTTGTTTGGTATTCTATAAGCAACCTAGAATCCTGCCTTGCTGACTTTTTCTGCCCAAACTATTCGTCTGGTACTCAGGGCTTTGGTACTCTTCATACCTTGCAGAACCAATTGATGTCAGGAACTAGGGCTTCACTGTATTTTCTGCCTTATTGATGGAGAATCTTGTTCTGGCTAAAGACTCCACTGATCTGCACCCTTTAATGTCTGTCTTTGCTCTTTATGGTGTCTCAGGTCAGCGTCCCCAAGTGCAGTCCAATTCAGTCTAGGTTACTTCTTAATATATTAAACCTCTGCTTTTGTTAATTCAGAATCTGTGCTATTATAAAAATCCATTATTGTCTGTTTTAATTCTAGACTGGGTATACATTCCATGTTATAAATTCCAAGTTGAAGTCAGGTGTAGGAGCAACACCACACTGCTGGTGTTATCCCAGCATTCTGAGAGGCTGAGGCAGGAAGATCACAAGTTGGAACATAGCCTAGGCAATTTACCAACACCCCGTCTCAAACTAAAAACATTTTTTTAAAAGGATGGGGGCTACAGATCAATGTGAAGGTCCTGGGTTCCATTACCACCAGTACCATTAAACAAGTAAGAAAGAAAAGGTAAAGAAGGAAAGGTAAGAAAGAGAGAGAGAGAGAGAGAGAGAGAGAGAGAGAGAGAGAGAGAGAGAGAAAGAAAAAGAAAGAAAGGAAGGAAGGAACTGCTCAAACTCAATTATGAAAAATAACAAGTAAATATGTATTTCAAAATGCACACAGTTCCTTTAAGTCTCTACTTGTCTATTATCTGTTTGTCAATATTTATAAATTAACAGTTGTTATTTCCACTTGATCATTGGATATTTGTCTGGAGGAAAAGAGATTCCTAGGGAAGCTTAAGAAAACTGCTACCTATCACTAGCTGGACACATTGCTGAAGTATAGGGCACTTGGCTTCTTTTGTCTCTTAAGCCTTATAGCCCTTCTGTCAAGAAGGAGTATTTGGTATCATTTTGTGCTAGCTCATTGGGCTTCTCCTGGTAATATGATCTGTGCCCGAATTTGAACTGAGACCTATTTATTCTGATGCTTATGATTCTTCTATGCCATGCTGGAGAAGTTCTCAGAGAGAAGGTATAATTATTTCTTGGGACAATAAAGCTTCAGTGGGTGTTCACTCCCCATCCTGCCTCTCAGAGGTGCTGCAGTGCTCCGTGGAGGGGTGACATCCGAGTCACTAAGGGAAGTCATGGGCAGTGCGCGCCAACTGTCCCCCCAATCCTGGATCAGTTGTCTCATTCTTGGCAGAGTAAAGTCAGTGGCATGTTCAGGCATCTTTTGCTTCCACAATATTTCAGTACGGATGATTTGCTACAGCTTTAATGTAACAACAACATTTTCAGATTAGGTTGTAAGCAAGTGTCTGGCCTAACTACCTTGTCTGTTTACTTTTCCTTGAAAATCACGCAGTAAACAATTTCTGAGTGCTCCTGTTCTAGGATTCTAACATTTCCTTCTGGGTGGTGGTCTCCAAGGGCAGGGTAATTCTGGGAAAAATTAAAGGGATTTGATTTAGAATAACTGAATAGAGAGGTGATATAGATGAATATCTATATTTCAGATACTTTTGTGTGTTCCATTTTTATAGCCTTAGCCTAAAACAGGAGTATCATTTTCACTATGCAATATTTGGTGATAATCATAATAGAAATGAAATACAAGGTACCTGGGAGTGTACAGCAGTGGTATTCAAAGCAAAGACTTCAGTCAGTCAGTCAGTCAGTCAAGCATCACTGGAAGGCTGTTAGAGTTGGGTGATGAGGTGGTGGTGGGGTTCCTACCACCTGTGTTTTCAAAGCCCTCCTCAGACTCTGCTGTGTGCTAGGGTTTGAGGAACTTTATCCTAGAGCCCCGCTGCCTAAGACATGGTCTTCAGACTGTACCCCAGGCCCATTGAAGCACAACTCCTGTTTGCCAAGATCTCTAGGCTGCGAGTACACGCAGTGAAGGAAGACCTAGAGAAGATCTCACAGCGTAACTGAGTACGCCCCACACTTGCCTCCTGCCCTAACATTGCCGATGTGTCCCAAACCTCACAGAAATGGTCCGATGGGCTGTGGTATTTTGGTTTTTCGTTTCCAAGCTTGGGGAGCGGGCAGTCAGCATTCCACACATGGCCTCACAGTCCACGATCCATGAAGAAGCAGCAGTGTGGGCTGACTGCTGCTCGCCTCGGTGCGGGGGGCTGGGACTGGCCGCCGCCCTTCCATCACCAGATGGTGCGGTGGAATTTGCCTAAACCCTGCGTGATGCACTTCAATATTTTGAGCTAAAGTGTTGGAGCTTTAGGTGCAAATGCAGCTAGAGAACTCATTGCACCCGAACCAGTCAGTTCCGAGGGGTTCTGGGAGACTGGTAAGATAATAAACTCAGGTGAATAAAACACGTTTGCGAGTGATTCAGTCTGGGGTAACTGTGTATTTATTATACTTTTACGACTCTGTTAACTGAAGCAAGAAGAAAAATGAAATGAATCAAATGAATACTGGGTACATTTGCTTAAATTCAACACCATTGGTTGGGGCCCCCAATTCAGGCCACAGGGAGCCAAATCGGATGCACCGAATGAGTGGGCATCAAACCAGGTAAGGAAGGGTTGAGAGCAAAGGGCAGTCACCCATGGCAGTGGGTGACAGGAAGTCACCAATTCCCCTCCCCTCCAGGATGACCCCGAGGTCAGAGCCTGTGACAGACTCTTTTCTGTGAGCACATGTGTTTGTGTATTCCCACTGGCCCCCTCCTGTGTGGCCTTCAGGGACATTGGTGTTCCTACTTAGCACAATTCTGGCTCCCCCTTTCCCTTTCTGGAGCTGTGCTGGGCACAGGCAGTGCTGGGGATGCCGCTGAGAGCAGCTGTCCCCCGGCATTACAGGCTTCCCTGGCACGCTTCATTTAATAAAAATAGATTTTGGCACTAGCATTAAACCTTTCATCCTTGACTCTTAAATTATTTCAGAAACATTAATTCTTGCAGAATTCCTGCAAGGTTCATGTTATAGCAAACTCACAGATTCGTGAAGACTTGGAGATAAAAGGAATTTAGAGATTATCGACTTCAAATCCCTTCTTTTTTTTTTTTTTTTTGGATGGAAAATTAGAATCCCAGAAGGTGAAGTGACTTTCCCAAGCCATTCTATTTTTAAAAGTGTGAGGTCACAGTTAGGGGAATTACTCCAAGCCATAAAATATAGTTTAATTATTATAGAAATTAAACTTTAAATTGCATTTCCTAGTCTCAAGGGAAAGACACTTTAACCTTCTTACAAAGAGAACTAAGTGCTGGGGGATGTCTAGAGGCCGGTTTTGTAAAATAATGCGCTGATCATAAGTTAGAATTATTGATAATGAGAGATCATTTAAAATAGATCAAGGTTGTACGCCATTGATAAAAAAACAGTGCTACTTCGACTTATTTACGTACAAGTGAATGATGCTGAGTTTAAGATAGTGCCAGGATCATATAAGGAATTGCTCTGGAAAAGAAGAGCTAAATTCAAAGTGGATTTGAGATTCGGAAAGTAATTCAAAGTGAAAAAATACTTGTCAGAATTGGGAAAGGGCCTTCGAGATGAATCAGAATGTAGAAAATCTACAAAAATCTATGTTCTACCTGAAGCATTTGTTACGTTCTTTTTTGGTTCCGGGGACACATGACAACATTGTGGCGCAGCCAAAGGAATAATAATATGTGAAGAAATAATGCAAAGGAACACTAATATGGGCCATGAATAGTGACAAGATTCCACTGAGGGAATTTATTTGAAGCCTTTGGGGTAAATTTTCAGCTGAGGTGAGCTAGAGGCCTGAGAAGCCTGTGAAGGCCCCTTTGAAGGTTGTGTGTCCAAATCCACTAAGAGCACTGGAAGACACAGGGACCTGAACAAATCCTACAATGACTTTCCTTCCCCACCTACTTGGGGCTCGCTTTTCAAATCCTTCTTTTCCAGAAGACGTGACTGAATCTAGAAATTTACATCTCAAAAGGCAACACAGTCAAAGAACTGTGATTTTGATTGATGCCCAAAGACAACAAAGGCGAGTTAGGATAATGATGTCGATGTGAGTAGATGACGGTGACGTTTTACGGTAACAGAGACAATACGTGTGACCTCTCCTTCCTGATATCATGTTGGGACAGAAGAGGAAAAGACTTTAGAGATGATTATTGATGTGTACAGCGGCAAAGATGAGTCTCAGAACAATTACGCTGAGTGAAAGAAGCCCAGCAAAAATACACATATGTGCTTGCATTTGTACAAAACCCTAGAAAAGGCAAACTAACTTGTAGCAACAGAACCCACATGAGTGAGTGCTTGAAGATGGGGTCAGGGTAGGGTGTTTTATAAAGAATATGAAGACGCCTCTGGAGATCAAGCACATGTCCATCATCTTGATTTCTTGGTAGTTTCATAAAGGTATACATGTATCAAAACTTACCAAATTATATATGTTATAGGCACCATTTTCTTGTGCACCAAGTATACTTTTATTAAAACATTTTCTTAAAGGAGATAAATGTATATTACCAAAAATCTATTTGTACCCAGGGTGCGCAATAATCTGGACACATACTTCCTTGGACAGTACTTAAGAAGATGGACTCATTGGACACTGGAGACCTTTACTTCCTGTGGAACAAGGTCACTTATTCCACAGTCATGATGAAAATAGAGCACAACCATTGTCTCTCTGTGAAACACAGCATTCTGCATTGTGCCAGTGGCACAGGACGGGTCCTCTTCTGCTGCCAAGATGTACTCCGTCTGATGCCAAAGGTGGTTTGGATTCACTCTATGGATGAGGAACCAGCCTCACATTATTACCTGGAAGGTGGGGATTGAAACATCTGTGCCACACTTTTCAGACTTAAAATACTTCTCCTTGCTGAGACATAGTTACAATATTTTTGTTGGTTCCATACAAAATTATGAGAATTCAAATAGGATATGGCTCCATTTCTCTAGAAGCTTATGATGATATAGATGGATAGGAGGGTAGATAATGAGAGATAGATAGATAGACAGACAGACAGACAATAGACAAATCAGTTATAATGTAAGTTTTATAACACCAGTAATGTTATGAATACACAGAATAGTAGTGAAAAGGAAAAGAAACTGTCCAGGGCTAAAATAAATGAGGTTTCTTTGCTTTTTGAAAGAAAATATTTCAGCACACAGAGAGAAACCATGGAGATTAACCCTGGAGGGAAAGTGGGAAAGCCCAGACATGCAGGGGACACAATGTCTGGGGATGTTTTGAAACTTATCACACTTTGCAGAGATAGCAAGTATAAGAGGAACCAGGACACAGTGCAGAAAGTCCCAAGATGGGCCTACATGCTGTCACAAAGAACCCAAACCAAGAGACTGGGAGAAATACGTAAACCTACCATAAATATATTTTGCACCAGATAAGTACAAATTAATGAATACACTAAAATCAGCATAAAAGAATGCATTGATTCAGGGATATGGGGGAAAAAATGAGAACCAAGACCTGTCATGTAAAGGCACAAGATCCCAATGATGAATGTAACTGGACTACCTACCTAAAAATGTACCAATAAACTTAATGAAAAAAATTAACTTTATTGGTACATTTTAAGTATACATTATGATCGCATTCATCATTGAGAATTTGTGCCTGTCCATAATACGTCTTAGCTTTGCTTTTTTCCCCAGTCCCCTTTCCTCCCTTCCTCTCTTCCACCTCTCCCTATTTACAAAAGCGTTGTTTTCAGTTTATTTCTTTTTTAAAAATTTCTTTCCCTTCTTTCCTTTCTCCCCCAGCCCCATACTTCCTCTTCCCCTTTAAACCTTTGCTTTCCATTTCACATTATCTATTATGCATTTAGGTCCTCATTTACACTTTCAATTTCTCACACCAGACAGACAATTCAGTATTTACACATAGCGTTCTATTTATTTCTCTTAAGAGTTTGGCCTCAATGTACATCCACTTAGCTATAAATATAAATGTCTCTGATTTATCATTTTTTATGGTTGAGTAGTATTCCATTAAAAAAAAAACATCTTCTTTATCCAGTCACAAGTGGATGAGCAATTACGCTGTTTTCAAGATTTACCTATTACAAACTGTGCTGCTATACACATGGGTATGCAGGGCCTAGGATTTAGCTCAGTGGTGCTGCCACCTGCCTTGCAAGCACAAGGTCCCAAGTTCAATCACCAGTACCAAAAACAAAACAAAACAAAAAAAAATGGGTATATGGATATGCATATTTCACTGTGGTATTATGCTTTTTAATTCTTTTGGGAAAATGACAAGCCCTTTTGAATTGTGCATCACTTACTAATGAAAGATATATTGTACTATTTTTACATCTCAACCCAGGCATAGAATCAAACTCTAATTCCAATTTTGAAATAAGCAGATTAGAGCCTTTTGTCCTTTGAAGACTTATAGTCCAACCAAGAAGACAGGATTCAATGGTGACATACAGAAGAACATGCTACAGTTAGGTTTACTTGGGGGGGGTGGATGAAAGAGATCATCAATAAGGAATCTCAGTTCATCTGTAAGTAGCAACAGCTCATCTTTCTGGGTATACGTGAAATATAGTGGTTGTAACCAAGTCCTGCAGCAGGCATGAGAGGACACAAGTGTCCTTTAGCACCAGTCTCAGAAGGAGAAAGGATGAGGGAACAGAGAATCAGTTGCTTTAATCACTGAAGTCCTTTATGAGTAGCTGAATTCCTGAGGTCGTATGGCCTCTGTAAGGATGGACCGTGAACCTTTTCAAAGTTGCCAGCCACAATTACCCAAAGAACATGCGCAGAATCAGAAAAGACTCGGAGGAATCATCTCCGAAGATGCCTTTATGTTTCCCAACAAAGCACTACTTCAGGAAGAACTGAAATTCTGCTACTAGGCACAAAACAATCGTCCAAGGCATTACTTTAGCTTTTATGGAAAAAGTGGGAAACATCCAGCTGAGTGTGGACAGAGGGTGGAGTTACTGGAATTCCATGACTGTGGAAGCAATGTTTGCCTTGTCATAATTACGTTTACGCCCGATACTCTCAATTGCCACCTGGAGCTTGCACAAATCTTTTCAACATGAATCTTTTCTGGGTCTAGCTCTAGTGCTGTCTCCATCCTATTTGGGTGGCTACAAGGAAAACGAGGCTCAAATATGAAAAAAGAAACTACAATCAAAGCTAAGTTACACCAAAAGATTGAAAGTAGAGTTGAATGCTATGCCCAAAATGGTGCCACTGAAATCACCCGCTAGACATCATGCAGTATCTTGTGTTCTTAGTAGAGATTTAACGCAGCTGGACACAGACTCCTTAAAAGGACAGCAAACTCTGAACCTCCCACAGCAATTTGCTTCATGTTAAATAGAATTTCAGATATTTTTGCTGGACCGAGTATGACAAAGAAGCTTATTTATCTCCTTTTCATTTGAGCAGCTACTTCCTTCCTGGCAGTAAAGAGGTTGGCATCCCAGGCACCGACCCGGTCCAAATTTCTAATACGCAGTTGGAGAGGGCTTTGGAATTGCAGGCTCTGCGAGTCTCTTGCCAGCCTGTGCAGCCCCAATTCTTAAAGGGATACCCCCTTCCAAGCTCAGGGCCGCTGGCAGAGCTGGACTCGTGCAGCCTCCAAAAGCAGCAAGTTTTCGAGATGCTCTGGGAATTTCTGCCTTTCTGGAACTTGCAGAATATCTGTTTGTATGTTCTGCTTTGTGATGGTAAGTCAAGTGTGCTTGCTGCTTTTTCTGCTTTATGCCCTGAATAGGGGACATCAATTCCATAGGATGATGGCAACATGAAATCCACAGAGAGGCAAGTGAACTGAAGCAGAAGCCGCTCGAGCAGAGAAGTGGATAATAAATCCTGAGCATGATCCCTACTGGTTATCTGAGACCCAAATGAAATGATTTACATGCAGCAATGTTCTTCTGACTGTAGTAAAACCAGGCACTTACAGATTCACAACAGAGGGCATCATGACAATATGAGATCGAGGACAGGACTCTAAGGTCTATTCTGTGGCAGCCCTGCGCTGTCCCTGAGCTTCTGGGTAATGCTCGAAACAGAGTGTCCTGGCTCTGCTGCTCTGTTGCAAAACTCACTCAAAGAACTGATGTGTCTCCAAGTCCCTAGGACACATTTATGGTTTTGTGCAAACAAGTGTCCACCCAGAGGTAGGTTTTCTCAGAAGAATTTCTGTTACTTCCCATATTAAGGAAGCTCAACAACACTGCCAGTTTGATGCTTCGCAACAGCATGGTAAATCTAGACCAAACTGCTAGAACTGAGAATAAATGGGCCAAAAAGAGCATAATTAAGGCAAATAGTTGTTAGTAAATAGCTTAAAAAATTGAAGATGACCCAAAGCTTTTATACATCTGGAAGAAACGTGGCAGGTAGATGAGGGGACATGAAGATGTGAGGGTTTCTGCTGCATTTGGAATTGGGCACAGAAACTGGGAAATCTTCACATCAGGAAAAAATTCAAATATGCATTACATTGTAAGAATACTCACTCAGATAATGGACATGGGTTGCAAAATATCGAAACCACTGGAGAAAATGAGCTTGGTGTGACTGAGGGTTCATGGAAGGGTTCTTCTATTAAAGGAATCTCTTCCAGTTGTGGTGACCCAGCTCTCACTCAATAATGATTGCCAGGGTCATGCAACAGTCAGTGTGAGCAGAATGCCTCAAACTGGGTCACAGAGTTGGGCTTGTCCAAATTCTGATGGTGCTGAGGGCTAAGGATGCAGCCCATGACAGTGAAAGAAACTGTATTTGCTAAGAGGAGACAAGAACATGAGCTGAACAAAAGAGGTGACTGTTTAAGAGAAACCTAGACTTTTGTCAGCCTGACAGAAACAATGCCCAAACTTAAATACTATTTTATTATTATTGTTTTTTCTTAATATAAGGGGATATGGAGAAAGAGAGAAGAGATGTTGAAACAATGCAGGAGAGGAGATGTAAAAACCTTCCTAGTCCCTTTAAAGTGAGTGGGGCTTCATCCGTTAAGAGATAATGTGCTAGTGTAATAAAGAAATTTAAAAGCAAGGTCAAGGACAGAATTAGTAATCTTTGGAGATAGGAGAAGTTTAAGGCAATGAATTGATGTCCAAATATTTTAAAATAAAGACATATGGATTCTGAAGCCTCATCTAACTTTAATTTATATTAATAAGATCTACTCTGTGTGTGCAGCGATCTTTTGTCTTACTCTTTAATTCTGTCACTGTTTCCATATTTAACTGAAATTTAATTACTGTGATGAATATCTGATTGATTGGACTACGTAAACTTCTTAAATGGTGAAATGCCAAATCAATTGTCACTATACCTCATTGTATTTTTAACCATGCTGGTGAGTATTAAGCATCTGTTAGGAAGAACAAATGCAAGAATAAAAATACAGACTGTGAAGCAATGGTTTCTCATTTGTGGTGCTTTCCAGTTCAGAGTATGGTCAGGCGTGAAGGTCATGGCTGAAATGGAGAGGTTAAGAAAATGAAGCTGAGCTTCCTCTGTCAGGTCCCCACAATTCCAGAGGTGAGGAAGCTGGAGGAACACTCCGTTCCCCTCCCAGGAGGCTGGTGTCACCCCCTCCCATCATCCTGAGATCTCTAGGAACTAGTAAGAAAGCAAAGAAGGCCTGCTCAGCCTGGCAAAGCTAAGATGACCCATTTCAGTAAAGAAGCCTCTCATGACCTTTGAGGAACCATCACTGTGGGTAATCTCTTCCATTCTGTCTGTTCCCTTCATGGCCCACAGAATATTCCTGAGCTTTGATGGACCTTCAGACTTATGGTGTTCTTCCAAAGACCTGCCAGAAGGATCAACTTGATAACTGACAAGTCTTCATTCTGGGACTTTCTACAACCCCTCCCACAGTGTGACCACTCTCCTTCAAACTTTCCTCCTGCTTGCATGCTGTCTCTTTCCAGGGCTGGCCCCTTAATGGTCAAGAACTGGGATCTGTTTGACCCCAACCATGCCTGGGATTTGGCTTGAGCTCAGAAAAAGGCAGCCCAAACACATCTCAATTTTGGTACTAAATTAGAGTTCAAGGTTACACTTAAATTGAAGAACACTCTACAAACCATAAACTGAAAATGTATTTCCTATGGAGATGTAGGCTTAGATATCCAAATCTCTGACTTCTAAATTAACTTTTCAAACGAGAACTGTTTGTGGAAGGCTTTCTCCTAATTTGTAACATTTTTAAATTTATGAAATTTTCTCATTTCAGTACACAAAGAAGAAGCCAAGGGAGGAAACGAAAACTATGATTCCAAATTCTCAGGGCCCTTCCTGGAGACAGTTTTATAGATATCACTCTGTCCTTGGGCCTCAACTGGAGGAGGGAAACACCTACTCCATCCAGAGGTGATGTGGGTGAGAAGCTATTACAGTGGCAGTTGCAGCCTGTCCAGGTTTCTAGAGTACAAATGTAACTTTTCAAAAATGTAAAAGTATATACCAATATTGTCAGTGCTGTCAGTATTTATTATCTTTCTAATAGGGAGATATGTGAAGCAGTTAGTATCTCTATTAAAAAATAAAACAAACTCATCTTAATAAATGCAAATTGACTACTTAATTAAAATCAGTTAAATATTAACCAATTATAAATTGTTACTGTTAAAAAATTAGAGTAATTTACAGAAATAACTCACTGCTTTGTTAATATGACTGGTAATTTATTGCAGATATTTTAACATCTTTTCCTATGTAACATCTATGCTTTCTGAAGCATGAAAGAAACTGATAAAGAGAACTTCTGTAAATAGACTGAAACCTACAAAATGTTAAGGAAATACACAATAACTGCTATCTTTCACTTCTATAATTTGCTTTGCTTTGCTTGTTTCTTAGGACAACAAGGTTTCATCATTAATACAAAGCTTGAAGTCATGTAGACCCAGTTTAAAATGTTACAAGATTAACAGATGCCAGAGGTGCACAGCTGCATCCCCAGGGTGAGACCAGATATTCAAACTAAGATAACAATCACTATACCTTACAAGCAAAATACACTTAGACCCTAAACCCTAAACTTTCTGTAAATCATATGACTATAAAAGAGATAAGATGGAAGGAATGTTACCAGTCCTGTTTTCCTAAACCTGACCACCACTCTTGTGGGCTAGAATAGCTAACTAGGCAAATCCTAACGATAAACATCCTAACCACAATAAGATGCAACATTTGGGTTAAAATTAAAATGTCTCAAGACCATGATTTGTGATGGGAACTGAGAGAACTGGACTGTCCTTATCGAACTACCTAAAATGAGGTCATGATTATAAAACTCCTACAAAAGGCAATTGTAACACAGCCCAAGGTTGGTCATGTGGCACAGCTCATGGCGCAGGCAGACCCTTTGCTAGTAAAGTAAACATTTTTGTTTTACCCACTTTTGCACCTCTGTGTGTCACTTACCAGTTCCTTCCACAACAGAATGAATTAAAAAATGTAAACCCAGAGACTAATGATTAGTTTGAAGAATGCATTTTGAAGTTAAAGGACACAGAATTTTAATCCTAACTCTATTATTATCTAAAAATATGGTATTTGGCCCAAGTTTCCTTATCTTCAAATGGGCTTAATGACATCTACTTTGTCATAATTCAGTAGAATTATGCATTTTTAAGAAGTTTAAAATAATGGTCACATTGAAGCACCTCATAAATGATCTTTAGCATGACTATCACACAATCTTAAATTTACATAAATGTTGTAGTGGGTGTAGAAAAGCAATACATTTTGTAAGTACATTACATTAATATGCAAATAAAAAGACAAATCAGAAAAGTGTATATAGCCCATTCTTTTGATGTGTATTTTCCCAGTGCACTAGCTACACTTTGAATGCTTGTGTTCTTCCAAAATTTGTACGTTGAATTCCTAATCCTGAAATAGAGCCTTTGGGAAGTTCATTTTTAGGTATAGTATTTTTCATTAATAAGGAGTTTATTTAGCTCCTTTTGAAATGCAGGTTGATTTTCTTATTTACAGTTTCCTAAGATATTTTACACTTTTCATTATATCTCCAAGTCTGGTGAACACTATTGATCTGCAGTCCTTTCCTGATTATTTTCATACTTGAAGGCCTTGGGTCCTATTCCTGTGTCAATCTGGTCTTCATCTTTTGCTGGACTGCCCTGAATTTGTGCAATGTACATGCTGGACTTCTGGCTGCATGAGAGAGGCAGGTTGTAGCCATTTCTGGGTGCCCAGGAGGCCACCTGTTCAGAGTCCTCTTAAACGAGTTCAAAGTCTGGAGTTCTTTTTTAAATTTTTTATTAGTAATGTATGTTTGTAATACATAAAGATGACATTGATCTCAGAAATTTGGTACATATGTATATCACATTTTGATCCCTCATCCCCTTCCCTTCTCCCTAGATTCTACCTCCTTGTGTCCTGTCATCTCCCTTTTATTTTGCTCTTAAATTATTGATTCTTTGAGTTTCTCAGAAGCTTCTGTGTCTGATTTATTTCACTCAGCATTGTGGTCTCTAGATCCTCCCATTTTCTCGGACTGCAAGACAGCTCTGCTCTGAAGATGAGGTCTCTCCTGCTCCAGGTCATTGAGGCAGCCTATCTCATAAGATCCCCACCCCTGTGGTCCTCAGTTTGGACTTCTGTTTTCCTTGCTCTGGTTGGTCACTAAAACAGAAATTCAAATGAGCCTCTGTTTGCATCTCTATTCAATCACCTTCTGCTTGTTAAACTTTCCTATCTGCACTGGCCTTGTGGTTCCTCCTTCTGGGTACTATTCAAGAAGGTGACTTTCATATTTTATTTAGTGTGGTAGTTGCTCCTGCTTTTCTTGAGGCATGAATTAAAATCAGTTTTGGATATTTGGCATTCTTTAAAAACGTCTTTTTTAATGATTTCAAAATAAATACTTTTGTCACATATGAGAATTCACAGATGATTTTCATTATGTAGTAGTTAAGGTTGGCAGTAAATTTATGCTGCTGGGCATTATTTTTGTGTTTATTTTACAGAGGAGGCAGGGGGCTGAACCGGTCTTTGAGTGAAGTTGTCTCTGATGGAAACCTGGCTTCCCACTTCATGCTTTATTGTTGCTATTACATGGGAAGGATTTTCAGTAAATGCTGAGGTTTTGATTATTAGGTATAGATAAAGGAATCCAAGAAGGACAGGGGTGAGAATGGTGAGAATGGGAACTACACAGCCAATAATTAATCCATATTGAGATGCAAAGTGAAGACAATGTCAGGAATAGTTTAGCAACGGATTAGGGTATTTTTCCTTTGTTTTATTGAACTGGAATATTGTTATTTTATTCTTGAGCCTGTCTGTACACTGTAATTTAACTGCTGTTCAGCTGTCTGGCTTTTTTTTTTTTTCTATCATGATGAAACCCACACCTCAAGAGCTGAGACTCTAGAGAGCAATTGTAATCATTGATTGTGATGCCCATTTGAGTAAGAACCACCCAGCAGATTAGCACAGTTCTGGGCATGTCTGTAGATGATTGACATGTAGGACTCCCACTGAGGAGGGAAGACCCACCCAGAGGTGGGAGGCACCAACCAATAATCTTATAGCCTGGATGGACGAGAAAGGGAAGAGGAAGGAAGTCTTCCCTACTGCTTTATTGGAGAAGCTCTGATCTTTTCCATTGCCATTGCTTTTGAACTTTTGTCTCTTTCAGGCTTCGGACAAAATTCTTTAGCCTTCCAACATGGACCCTTCAGCTTTTAGACTCGGACTCACACGAGACTTTGCGGTGAGCTTCGTGCCTTTGACTTTCTTTCCACTGGTTTCTCCAGCTCTCAAGCATGCAGATGGTGTTCTGTATTCTCCACTCTGATTCCATAGGTGGTTACTGGAAGCCTACCTAGTAAATCCTTCCTATAATCAGACGTTTATTTTATGTTAAATCTGTGCTGCTATCAAACCCTAGTGAATACACTTGTCTTAACTTATGCTCTCCAGAAACATCTCTGAGACATGGAGAGGTTGGGAGAATGTGCTCTGGTGATAAATAAATAAAGAAGCATGAGTGCAGGATGGGCCTAGGGAGGAGTTGGCCCACTATGGGGTGCATGAAGCCCTCACACACCAGGGACTCTTTGGGTAGGAGACTTGAGCCTTGATGTGAACCAGCATCAGCCAGGGGTGCCCAGGAGAGGAACAAGCCCTGTGAGTCATTCCCATGAGGGTGCGCCTGACATCCACTGGCAGTGACATCTCCACAGCTGAAGACTGGCTTCTTGTCCTGGTAGTGCCAGTCACATTCCAGAGAATCCTCTGGCAAGCTGAGGTCTAGTGGAAAGTGGAGCCATACATGGCGGTTGCAAGCTGCCTTTCAGTCACCCTATGAGAAATTGTGGATATGCTCAGGACAGCCTGGTCAGCAGTAAAGGAATGTTTACTTCTCAACTATGTGTTGCCAGCCACGTATGTTCCCTCAACACTTGCCCCTCACAGGAACACACTGCCCCTCATTACAGTTTAACACTACTTGACTTTTTTCATATACTGTCTTAAAAATGTGGTGATTTTTATTTTATAAAATATTTTTGCTATTTTAATATAAAAGCAACATTTAAAATAATTCACGGGCTTATTAGTTAATTTTTCCTCCTCAAATCTTCTCATTTGTTGCATATGCTTAGGCTAATGCTTAGAACACACCTCTGATACACCTCTAGTGTATGGTTATCCCAGTGTGAGAAGAACAAGTAATAGAATAAGAAATAATAGTATTGAGCTGGGGATTTAGCTCAGTGGTTCTGGCTCCTGCCTCACAAGCACAAGGACCCTAGTTTGACCCCTGGCACAGAAAAAAAGAAGAAGAAGAAGAAAAAGAAATAATAGCATCCAACAGTATTAGTACAACATCTTAAAGTTTTCAGAGTGAGAAACATTACAGCATAGGAAATGTCCTGTCTCAGAGCATCTCCAGTTACATCCACAAGGGACCAAAAGTGTATCTCACTCGCAGCTCAATGAATGATCAGCAGTTTGACCACCTGTCTCTGCCCTGTTCCTACCCTCCTTGTCTAGCTGCTGAACACACCTGGGGGACAAACAAGGGCCACTTCATGGCAGCCAGCCCTACTACAGGGACACTGTGTCCAGGAAGAGGTTACATCTGGCCACTCCTGATGCTGGCTCCATGGTGCTGGGCTGTTTGCAGAAGCAATAACGTCCACATTCTCAGCATATCTTGCATTTCCTGGCCTTAAAAAGCTCCTGCATGTCCAGAATCCTCCACAATCCCATCTTCAGCCTCTGCTTCTCATTGCCCTTTCCCTGTCCATTCAAAACCCATCTGAGAGGCCCATTTGGAGTAAGCTGAACTTCTCTTCCATCTTTCTTTATCTTTTTTTAAGCTTTTTAATTCACAGTCCTGAACACCCCCAAATGGCCAAGTCTGTTTCCAGTTGGAAGTCACTCAATAAAGGCATCTGTGAAGAAAACCAAGGACTTTAGGTATGTGTGGGTTTGTGTTGGGAGTGTGACAGAGCAGAGGGGTAATATTCCGAAGGGGAAAGTGGTTTATTTCAGTTGCAGAGGGCTCAAAATTAATGCTTTTTTTTTCTGAGTAGAAGGCATATTGCAAACTCTTTTACTATAACTTCAAATGCACTAATATTCTAATTCTACAAAGAGTTTTCTATCATGCACTATAGAAATAGGCCATTAAATCTGCATGTCTAAAGGGACTTCTCAGTAATTAGTTTGCTTAAATACAAATGAGTATATCAGTTCATGAAACTGCAAGAAAAAGGAGGATACAGAATTCACCTCTATTTCAGGGTGTGTGCTGAGAGTAAGTGATCACTTTCTTCTAAAAGATATACCCAAGTTTCAATCTGACTTTATAATTTGAAACAGCAAGTTGCATTAACTCTGCATTAGACTGCGTGTCTGCTTGTTCTTCAGGTGGCTGAGTTTCTGGTCTTCCTTAGAAGGAAATTGGAGTTAATACAGTCAATAGGCCTGTTACAGGAATATTATACCTCAGGAAAAAAGAATCTAATTAGTAGTGTAATTTGGAAAAAAGGTATTTTTCTTGCTTTAACTTGGTGTCTCATAAAACTAGATCATTGGATATTTAAGCGTTTTAATAAGCTTTTTGTCACTACAACCAATGTCTGAGGTAATTGGCTCATAAAAAGGAAAGGTGTGAACTGGGGACATAGCCCCACAGCAGAGTATGTGCTCAGCATGTATGAGGCCAGGGAGCCATCCCCAGTGCTGGGTGCATGTAGTGGCAGGGGTTGGGTATGGTGGGTGTTTGGAGGTCACAGTTTTGGAGGTTTCAGTCCATAATAGTCTTTGTTGCAGAAAGACATCGAAGCAAAACCACTCTACTCCAGGAAGGGATCCAAGGCAAGTGGAAGAGGATGGGACCTGTCCCACCATCCCCTTCCAGGGCAGCCTCAGTGATGCTAAAAGTCTCACCCCTTCTCAGTCCCATCACCTAGGGAGCAGCATGGGGGACACTTAAGACCCCAACTATAGCACTATGGTCCCATCTAGTTCTTTTAAAAACAGCAGTATTCTAAACCACCAAAGACTTTCTTCTGGAGAGACATGTTTTAAATCTCTTTTACTTTTTGTTTTCCAGAGAAGGGAACATACTTCATTTCATATCTACTTTCCTACTCCCAAGAAATTAAACTCAATAAAACATTTATTACGTGAGCTAAAGGTTGTCAGTGTTTGCTGGCTTGATAACTACATGAGAAAATAAATTTCATTGGTTTGATTTTAAAAATAGAGGCTCTTTTTCTACCTAGTATATCAGAGTAAATTTGCAGTAACTTTTCCCAAAGCAAGGTGGCAAAGAGGAACTTGTTACAGGAGACAGACAATCTACTTCTAATCTTCACTGAATTCTTGTGTGTGGTGTTCTAGACCCTAACCAGTATCTCCACCTATCTTATCCAGTGTGTCCTCTATGACTACCACCTTGTCCTCTATTAAGACCTTTCAGAATAAAGTGAGATACAGGATTGAAAAATGTTTAATTAACCAATTTTAAATATTGTTTACTTTTAAAGAACACGTTTAAAACACTATTACTTATAAAGCAAATACTGGCTCCACCATCTTAATTCAAAGTAGATTTTTCTCTCAGAGGTATTATTTGAGAAGAGAAATGAGATTAGGGGAGGAAGAGAAAAGTAGAAATGTGTAACAAAGAAGAAATGACCAAAGTATGTTTTATCTGTGTACAAATATGCCAGAATGAAATCCACTACTCTGTATAACTAATAGCAGTAATTAGAAAAAAAAAAAAACCTACAAAAGCACACTTGAGCTAGACTTTGAAAGGGAGAAAGTGAACTAGTTTTAGGTTATATCTATCACTGATAGTTCTAATAATTACCTTATGTAGTATCTTCTAACATGAAATTTACATAGAAGAGCTACTAATACATTAAAACTTCGAAAGTGCATATTAATCCCACATCTATACTGAGCAAAGATTGAGACACTCAAAATTTCCATACATCAACAATCGTAATTGTTATGTGTGACGAAGTTTTCATTCAGAGTCAAATCCTGGAGTAACTCTACAGATTATGTGTTTCTATTATTCTTGCTTATCAACCTCTCCAATAATGGTAACATGCTCACCTACACACTAGTTAAAGATGCGCATACACGGACACCTAGTGCTGTATGCCTGGACAGAATTTGAAAGTTGGAGGGAAAGGTAGGACTAAAATTCATATTTTTGTGTCTTTGAAGAACATGAAATTTCTCTTAACTATTAAGAGACAGCCGCTGCCTCACCCAGTTCTCTCCTCTGCAGAGGACGGAGCCCCTGAACACTTATAAATAGCCTCTGCGTGACCAGTTGCAGACTTCATCTGTCATAGGAGTACACTGAAGCCTCACAGAGGTGATGTGACTCTCCCAAACCGTGCACTCATTTCAGAATGGAACCGATTTCAATAGCAGTTTTTGCCCCGATATAATGCAATCATGGCCATTTATCAGAGCCCTTGCATTTTGGAGGTGCTTTTTTGACAATATCTCTAATGATAGCTATTGTCCCTTAATGTGTTCACGCATTATTGTTACTACTATGATCACCATTGTATCCATTGAGGAGCTAGCTGATGCCTAGGGAGTTTAGAGAACTATTCCAAAGCCACGTATTTAATGAATGTGGCGAAGATGCCATCAGGTCCCACCTTCACTGTCAATACAGAGAGAAGGAATCATCTCACTCCCACTGTTTTGTCTGGGAAATATTAGTCCCCATTTAGTTTTCCAGTAAATAGAGGCCTTCTTCATCCCTTGTCAGAGGGCAAGAAAATCTGTAGCAAATGACAAAAAGTCGCATTCCATTTCTCCCTTGCTTCATTTTCTCTGTCTTACCGAAATGCTTCTTCAAAAATAGCACTTCAAATTCTAAGCTGGTCAGTAAGTCAGTATTCTAGGTGTTCTGAAGTTCATTTTGTATAATTCATGTTTCTCACCAAATAGTCTTGGTAACTCTCCAGCCACGACATTCTGCCATGACATTTGGAGCCAAGAGTTTTTTCACGGGTGTGTTACTTGTGACACTCCAAGGAGTTCTCCTTTTTCATCTTGGCCACAGCATCCCTAACCCATCAGTTAATGTTGTAACATCAGTTAATGCTGAGCTCCCAATGTGGCCTGTCTTGTCCTCGATACTTTACATATAATTTACCTTGTGAGAATCTCATGACTACATTAATAGAGAGAGAATGTGTCATTATCCATGTATTACTAGAAATTGAATAGAACCACACTTCTTGGCACATTGGGCAATTTCACAATGACTCCCTTCTTGTGTGCAGATCAATACCTGGAATTCCTTCTGTAAATTGGCCTTCACCAGCCCCTGGTTTATCTTACAAAAAACATTTCGGCTAACTTTCATTGCATCTATGAATATGAACATGTTTATATTCAAAGGAATAGAAAATGGGAAGTGATTTTGAATGTACATTCTGTAGTTAAATATTAACTGTTTTATAAAATGGTCAAGTATATTTACAAGAAAGATCTCACTTTTATGCTATTTACATGTACCTTTATTAAAAATGTAATTGAATTTTTCTGGTGTATGTTTTTAGTATCCTATCTTACTTGTTCCCTTGTTGTTTTTGTAGCTCCTCTTTTTCATGATTCTTTTCTTCAGAATGTTCATTTGATTACTTACATGATGCAAATTAGTAATTGTTGAAAACAATTTTAGAAAATCAGTCTTGATTTTACCTTTTATTCATTTCTTCAAGAAATATTTACTGATTATGGAATGCTTATGGAATCATCTCAGGCATGGAAAATACAACAGTAAAAACTGAACCCCAGGCTTCAAGCACACCAAAAGTATGGGGTGGCCCATTAATTCTTAGTACCCTGTGTTTCATGTGCTGTTCACCAGCTAGCTTGTATTTATTAAAACCTATTTTACTGCTCTACACCTTGGGCTGTGAGGGTAATGGAAAGCTTCAGTTGGAAAGTGGGACAAGCAAAATGTCTCAGGAGTACCCCACGAAAGAGTGATTCATGTGTTGTGAATAGGTATTGAAGAGCAGCTCCTGGGAACCGTCAAATATTATAATCAACCCTGAGTGGCTAACTGATCTGTCAAAGTTCAGTTGCTTATGTTAGAGAACTCTATCTTTAGACTCAAAATCCAGTTTCCTTCAAATTCACTGAGGCTTCTCCCCTTAGCAGGCTTGTGAGAAAGCTGCAATTTTCCTCTTGTGGAAAAATGTACCTAAAAAGGCAGGGACCGAGAGCAGAGACCTGGGTGAAAATGTTTGCCAACTGGCTCTTTCTCTTTGTTTTTTCCCTGTCTAAAGGTGATGCCAGTGACGGACCTGACTAACGGATTGCTGTGGATCAGATGAGTCAATTGTTTAATACACAGTAATTGCTATATAAGAATTGGATTCTTCTCAATGTGATTAAACATACCCAATCATGTTCTGTCTAATATGACAATAAAATGGGTTGATCTTGATTTCCTACAGTATAATCAGCCCAGACTCTGTTACATTGAGTGCTGATCATTCTCTTCTGTGTTAAATGCAGCTTTTTTACTTGACTATTAAAAGGAACAACCTAAAACATTTATTTCCATTCAGATGTTTGCCTTTTCCTTTCAGTTAAACATGCAACTCAGTTGCCATCATTGAAAAAATAACTATACAAGTAGATGGAAGTTTCTTTATCCAATTTTTCTTAATCATAGATGTCTCTTCAATTTTCCAAAAACATTTCCCTTCCTTTGCATTTCTGGTCTTGTGTGATTTTTATCAACTACTTTTGTTTGCATTCCTTTTTTTTTCATAAATAGTTTTTGACTCTTACACCAAACTGTGCTTTAGAACTGGATGTAGTTTTATTCTCCCTGCAGTACTATTTGTTGAACTTCAGTGATGCTTTCCAAAATTCAAAATTCAAAAAAGAGCTCTCTAGGGAATTAACTATTTTAAAGTAAGAAAGTAATAAGAAACCAAAACCAGTTCTAGTGGGAAAATTATTTCTCCTTCAGTGCCTCTTGGAAGATCCTTGTGTTCTTTTAGCTAAGGCTGACTTTGCGACTGACTAGCCTCTACGACCTTTTAAACTTGCCTTCTCTTGCACTAGTTCTTGCTTTGTTACAGCCACACATTGCTAATGCCTCTCAAGGACCCCTTACCTTCAGCTCTTCTCTGTTTTTATTCCTTACTGCCACAGCTTCCTCCTTTCTATATGCACCAATCATTAGCCCTGACCTAAATTCTAGCTTTACATATGCAAATATTTCTGGAATATATTGGGCTACCTTAAATTTTAAAAAAGTCCAAACCTTGACCTTTTATTCTTTATGGTCATATGTATACATTGGTAGCAAATGAGACAAGTCTTTATGATGTTGGCTCAGATATCTAAGTATATCTAACTTAATAGTTCCTTCTTAGGAAGCAGTTCACATGCAGATTCTAAGCTGAACTGTATAAACACTTCTACAGATGTAAATATATCAATATATCATTGTGGATCCCATACTTTGAATGTTTGAAATTGTGGTACTGGCACAAAAACATGCAGGCAGAACAGAGCATGCAGAAATAAACCCAGGCACATTCAGCCATCTGATCTTTAACAAAGGGGCCAACAACATACACTGGAGAAAAGGTAGCCTCTTTAGTAAATTGTACTTGAAAAACTGGTAATCCACATAAAGAAAAACAAATTTAAACCAGTATCTCCACAATATACTAAAATAAAATCAAAATGAATTAAGGATTTATATATTCAAACAAAAGCACTGAATCTGCAGGGAGATAAATTAGGTAAGTTTGGAAGACACGGGTATAGGCAAAGACTTTCTGAACAGAACACCAGTTGCACAGTGAGTAGCATGAAGAATCAACAAATGGGGTTATATTAAATGAAAAAGCTTCTGTAAAAAAGGGAAACAACAACAAAGTGAAAACCAACCTAAAAAAAAAACTTTGTCAGGTACTCCTTGGGCAGAGGACTAACATCTAGAATATATAAAGAACTAAAAAAAAATGGATTCTGCAAAATAAAAGATCCAATAAAAAAAATAGGCAATAGAAATAGACATT